TTGTCATTCATGTGGTTGCCTAAATACTGGAAAATAGTCCATAGTGTATTTTGATACTGTCAGCTACTTTCTTTTGTGTTTTTGTTCAAATTCTAAATAGATATTTAAGAATACTTAATAGACACTTAAGAATCTCAGTTTTCATTAAGAGGAAGTGTTTTTCATCCTTGTGATTGCAGAGGAAAAGCTGAGAAGAAAAGAAGACAAACAAAGCAAAGAGAGTAAGTAAACAAAACTCTTGTGTTTCCCTGCTTTCTGACTCTACAGCAGAAAAACTCAACAAGCCAAAACCAGTGGGTTTGGTGACCAGTTTTCTTAAGTTCAATTCCAATTTTGTATTTCCAAATTTCAAAGCAGAGACTATGTGGGAATGTTCAAAACACTAAAGCTATTAAAATGCTATTTCCTTCCTGAAAATACATTTTTTCCACAGCAGTAACCAGGTCAACTGTTAAATCTTTTTAAGGCTTGTATGAAAGATAGTTTTGTAAGCAGTTCTAGGGCCATTTTAATATTAACTATAGGGGCAGTAACAGACAGGCTATGCTTCTCAGGTATTCCAGAGACATCTCAGATGCCTCCAAGAACTAGGGCATGATATTGACATCAGGGCCAACACACAGGGCTGTTTACATTCCCCTAGGACTGGAGAACATTTCTGGATAGTGTTACTGGCTCTTTAACTGATCAAATGCTTCCTGTGCCTCTCCTGTGCCTCCCTTGCCTCCCAGAGTTTCTTGTGCCAGCAAAGCTGCAGGCGTGCAGCAGCTCTGTGCCTGAGGTAGCAGCTCTGTTGTTTTGTTTCCCATTTTTCTAGGCTAATATTCCCAGATCAGAGTCAGGCAAAGAGAAAGGGAGTTCAGACTGAGAAGAGCTAGAAGTTAGTTTTCATTAGAATAGTACTTTTTGGTGTAGAATAACTCCCATCAGATAAATTTAGACTGAGGACTAGAAATAACCAGAATGCCCATTAACTATAACAAGGCTGAAAGAATTACTCAGTTATTTCAAGAAAATTGTTCACATGCATTTTTCAAGACTTCAGAGAAAATATAGCAGAGCATATGAAATATGAGAACATATCCTAGAGCATTCCAGGTTGGATGGAGCCCTGAGAAATTTGATCTAGTGAAAGTTGTCCCTACAAAACAAAAAGACAACTAACAAAACCAAACCAAACCACAACCAAAACTCTATAGCAGATGATATTGTAAGAAGGATACAAAGGTTTTGTTTAGACTGCAAATTAAACATGTATTTTACACCTCCTTGGGAACAACTGCTTTGCATTTACAGTGAAATCGAGAGCTGTTTATCACAATTATTTTTTTCCAAAGGGCATTGAGTTCATCTAAATTTAAGAAAATACTTCACCGTCCTGAGCAACTCCTTAATTTGGAACGTGGGTTAAATTCCTGTGCCTGTACTTTATGTGAATGCTTTGGAAAATCCTGAAGAACAACAAAAGCAAGCTAAGTGGTATTGCCAGGATACTGCAGCATAAAGCAGTTACGAGGCTTATCATTTCAGGCATCTAGCAGGTGACAGTGGTATGGCTTCTGGACTGCAGCTGAGGACTTCAGTCTATCTCAGACAGACACATGCTCTTTCTCAATAGTTACTCTTTCCTAAAATTCACTCCTTCTCCATCTATACAGTCCACCTTTGCCCTTTCGTTTTCTTTGTTTATCTTTAATTTTTCTGCCCCATAAACTGCATTTTACTCAAACAATTATAAAGCAAGAGTTGCTGAGTCTTTCCGTCCATATTCAAGTGTGGAAAGGTGCACCCAAATTAATCCTGAAACAACTCTAAGGACTAAAATTTTTATCTGTAGCCGTTAGTCATTTCTCTGTTCTGTTCTGCTATGAATTCTCACTTGTACACCATGGTTGTTTGTGGCAATAGAAGTAATATAAGAACGCTACAGATAGCCCGTTTATTGAGTTTACCTCTCATTCTGCCTAAAAGGAAACAAGGACTGAGCCTAGACTTACATCATCATACCTTTTATTTATTTTCTCTTGAGAGTATGTCTATGTGTTTATTCATTCAGTTTATAAACTCTGCCAATTTGACTTCACTCAGAGCTAAATTTACTGTTTATAGTGAATCTTGCACGCTTGCATGTGGCATAGAAAAATGAGTAATAGTTTCCAAATCACGGTCAAGGAGGACTCAATAGCCATGAAACTCAGGAAGTTAGTGCTCTTGGCCAATAAGCAACAACATTCTGAGAAAGCCAGAAAGCCAATGAGAGAGCCATAAAAGAACCAGGTCTTTTAATGGCACATCTGTTGTAAGACTAAACTTGTAGCTACTTTCATTTTTCTTAATATATAAAGAAAAAAATGGTTGGACTGGTATGTGACAGCATAATAAAGAAGAATTGTTAGACTTTGGCATAGCTAAGAATGTTGCTCTACAAATTACAGAGTTCAGATAGCAAAAGGGTTTAAAATTTTTGTTTAGGACTTTAAAACATCATTCGTTATGCACTTTAACTTCATTTGTGTGTTTGCACACGATTAATGCCACAAGGCTCTAATTTTTAAGCTGCTCTCTCCTTTACAGTGCATGTGAGATCCTGATTTCTACAAAAATTGCACAAGTTAGTATAGTCACTGAATATTGTTAAAAATGTAAACAAGGTTGATGAACATACCAAGAGTATAGCCCATTGATAAGATATTTCTAAACTAGAGACTGAAGGCCACACCATTTTGACAAGCCTCGCAGTCTGCTGAAGTGCTCCTGAATCCCAGATTGCCACACAAGATGTTCCAAGTATTTCTAGTAATCATGGCTGAAACTTTAAAAAGGAAACTGGTCAATGCCACATATATCAAGTTGCAAAGATCTTTCATGGTCTTTACAAGTCCTCCTCTATGACCATTTGCAAATATAGCAATTAATTTTTGCCTGAAATACATTAAAGCTGTTAATAATCACTATGCTATAAAGGTTTTTTTTCCAAGTTGCAGTATGTGCTTGTGCATGATTTTGCTGGAGACGACAGGGTGCTATTGAAAATAATGTATAATATAAATAATGCAAAGTTATTAATCATCATTTATTGCAAATGCCAGAGAATCCTATAGTGAAAACTGGATACTTCAGAAGATGCAGAAGTTTCACAGTATGTTGCTTGAAATTTGTGTATGTTCATCAGACTGTTTGAATCTTTGGTCTCAAATGGTCTTAAATTCTATTGGACCAAAAAAACCACTTAGGCAGCAAAGAGGAATGTGTTTGGTGCATCTTGCAGATGCATGATACATAACATACTGTCATACTATACATATCACAGAACCATAGAATTTTAGGGGTTGAAATGAACCATACAGATCATGGGCAGGGACACCTCCCACCAGACCAGGCTGGTCAAGGCCTCATCCAGCCTGACTGTGAGCACTGCCAGGGTTGGGGCATCCACTACTTCCCTGAGCAACCTGTGCCAATGTCTCACCACCCTCACAGGGAAAAACTTGTTTCTAATATGTAACCTAAACTTCCTCTCCTTCAGTTTGAGCCCATTACCCTTTGTCCTATCACTGCAGTTCCTAACACAGAGTCCCTCTCTGGCTCCTTGTAGGCCCTCCAGATATTGAAAAGTTGCTCTGAAGTCCCCACTCAGCCTTCTCTTCTCCAGGCTGAACAGCCCCAACTCCCTCAGTCTGTCCTCATAGGGGAGATGCTCCAGTCCTCTTACCAATCTCGTGGCCTCCTTTGGACTTGCTCCAAGAGTTCCATGTCCATCTTACATTGAGGGCACCCGATATTTCTAATTGATATGATATGATTACAGTATGATATACTATATACCTGAACTGTTTGTTTCCATCTTTTTTTAGGATTTGCCATGGTACAATCAAAAATCTAGACAAAATTTTCATTCCAAGTTAAAAAAAAAAGAAATAGAATTTTTTTCTTGGGATGCTTTTAGAATTTCTAAATGTCCTCCTTGAATTTACTTGAGAATATCTGTTTCCATTCTACTGCCACATTGGCCACATTGTTTACTCTGAAAGAGCTCCTCTGTACTTATGAACTGCACAATCCTTTGTACTCTTAACTTGCTTTTTTTTTTAATACTCTTCTGGGTCTTTGTATTGTGGTAAACTCCTAAAAGGTATTTTTAAAAGTTGTCAAATTACTCAGTGGAATTTTAATTAGCTTATTAACTTCCAGTCTCTGTCTTAGAACTCTGTGTTAATTTTTATGTTGTATTGCATTTTACATCTCTGAGATTGCTAATGTCTTATTCCCCTCCCACCAAGCATGCTATTTATGTGGCTTTCGACAATTGCTGGAGGAATAATGGTGGTGTGTGTATCTTTGAAGATCTTTCTTCCCTATTTCTGGGAAGATCTGATGTTCTTCTTGATGCGGAGGAGGTTAAAAGCAACAATACAGAAGTGGACAAGCAATGGAATTCTCTCCATAGTTGATCTTTTCATTCAGAGAGTGGGAAAAATTCCCCACAAGCCATTCATTATCCATGAAGGGAAGGTGCACACCTATCAGGACGTGGACAGGAGGAGTAACAGAGTAGCACAGGTCTTCCAACACTATGGGAATCTTAAAAAAGGGGACACTGTGGCCCTGCTGATGGCAAATGGACCTGACTTCATCCATGTCTGGTTCGGGATGGCCAAGCTCGGCTGTGTGGTGGCTTTTCTCAACTTCAATATCCACTCTAGATCTCTCCTGCACTGCATTAACACATGTGCAGCAAAAGCACTGGTGATAGGAGAAGGTAAGTTCTGTCTTATGCTTCACTTCCTACTGACCTTCTACTGTTTAATGCTTTTATCGGTGAAGGAAAATCAGAGCCCTTCAAAGCTGAAAGCACTTCATATATACACACACATATCCTGTCTAAAAAGAGGGAAAAGAGATAGTGTGGTTTAAATGTCAAGTGTTTAAGCACCAAAAAACCCCATGCAATTAATCAGTAGAATAAAAGGCTTAAATCTGAAGCTCTCCAAGTACTGGACAAGGCACTAGAAGCAACAATCATGCCTCAGCAAGCAAACAGCCTGGGGAGAAACTTAAGCATGATTTCATTTCCACTTCTATTTATTGGTTTATGTGTCTTATATACAGCTTCACTGACTACAGGAGGACACATATTCCCTTTGTTAGTGGTGATTTCTCACATACAGATTAACGGTTCCTTTAGAACTACTTTAACATAGTGATCCCAAGGTAGCATTGCTTGGAGCTAAGATTGCAACTTATCAAGCCATAGTTTTGTCCCTCTTAGTATCATATTATGTAATAATGGACAATTTATTTAACCTTTCTACTCCTCTTTTCCCATATTTTATACAGGTTAGCAGTACTGCCATAATTCCATATGAATCCATAAGGGCTTGTTATTTTTTTCTTTTGTTTAAAACAAATGTTTTAACATACTGATTAAATTTAATCCTATATATTAGCATCACCAAGTAAGTTCAGGGTGTTATACCAGTTAAAATTAGAGCCATGTGAGAAGTATAGAGAAATTAAACATCACGATTTTTCTCTTCACTGCCCAATAGGCAGGTTAGTCTTATCATGGCTGTGGTAGGTTTAAGCAGTGTTAGGGTGTATAATTTCAATGCAGGTTCTGCAGCTGCAATTATTTTAATAATTAGCTTTTATTTATTCATTTATTTATTTTTAACTTGGCAGAGTGTTTGGGATCAGTAGAGAAAGAATTTATTTTCCATCTTCTGGAAAATAATATTGCTGTCTGGGTGATGAGCACCAGTTCACCTTTCCAGCATGTTCACACTGTATCGGACAAACTAGACAAGGTGACGGATCACCCTGTTCCATCTCACCTTAGAGTTATCACTAACCCAAGAGACACAGCTATGTATATCTTCACATCAGGAAGCACAGGTAAGGATGTGTATTAAGAAAGCACAACTGCAGCTCTCTGAAAGTTAAGGTGGTATAAATTTAGCAATCAGACAGGCAAACAAAGAGATAGGACTTGCATTTTTAAGTAAAGACAGGGGGGAATTTATTGATTTAAGATCACAGTACACTTTAGATCATTTTTGGCTTGTCATAATGAAGTGCAACTCCAGTCAGTAACCTTTCACATAGACACTCCAAGGCTGAAATTTATTTCTTATCTATAAAGTCAATCTGTAAGAGTTGCTCTGAAAGGAAGAATGGTGGAACTTCCCCTTTCGATTCTGATAATGGGAGTTATTTGCAGAGTGGAAGGAAAAGCAAATCCTTCCACTAGTCAAGTCAAACAACTTTGCAAAAGTTATTCCTATTGCAAATAAAAGCTGAGCATCACAGTGGCTCTCAGAAGCTTTCCCATTGCTGCTGTCTGACAGGGGAACACTGTATGCAGAGCTGGTCTGCACATGTCTGTGAAGGGTATGGACTTTGTCCCTCCAAAAAAAGAGACATAGCAGGGGACTCAGAACTAGATGATCTTTAAGGTCCCTCCCAACCCAAACCTTTCTATGGTTCTGTGATTAAATAACTTTTCAGACAAAGGACTGAAGAAGCTGAGAGACTGAGGAGTTATGAGGGACAGAACTGAAGAACAGAACAGAGAGAGTCAGAAGAAAAGGCAATTCTTCCTGTACATTCCCAACATAATTTTGCTTGCAGCAAAATTATTATTGTCTGCAGTACATTTATAATTTTTTGCTTTTCTCCCTCTGACAGGTTTCCCAAAAGCTGCTATCATCACTCATCTAAGAACACTGCTTGCCTCCTCAACGTTTTCCCAGTGCGGTGCTCTTTCTGAGGATATTATGTATCTCACTCTTCCCTTGTATCACATCAGTGCTTCTCTTCTTGGCGTCGGTGGATGCATTCAGTTAGGTAATACTTACCTTGTAATGAAGTTTCATTAACTTGAGAAGGCTGTAACATGTTAATATTTGGTGAATAACTGGTAACTTATATATTATGTTTACCAATAGGCTTTTGTCATTTTCCCATTTTTAGCAGCTTCTCCCATCTGAAGACAATAACTAAGGTATATGTATAGATTTTGAAGCTTAGAACAAACAACTAGCTGTTGCATAGATCCAACACAAAATGACCTGAGGTCTGCGTGACCTGTTCTCTAGGTTGGAGAGCACCAGGCAGAAAAGGACTTGAGAGTTTGGATAGACAGAAAGCTGAACAGGAGCCAGCAGTGTGCTCAGGTGGCCAAGAAGGCCAATGGCATCCTGGGCTGGATCAGGAACAGTGTGGTCAGCAGGACCAGGGAGGTGATTCTGCCCCTGCACGCAGAGCTGGTGAGGCCACACCTTGAATACTGTGTGCAGTTCTGGGCCCCTCAGTTCAGGAGGGACATTGAGGGGCTGGAGCAGGTCCAGAGAAGAGCAACGAGGCTGGTGAAGGGACTGGAGCACAAGTGCCCTGAGGAGAGGCTGAGGGAGCTGGGGGTGTTCAGCCTGGAGAAGAGGAGGCTCAGGGGAGACCTTATCACCCTCTGCAACTCCCTGACAGGAGGTTGGAGTCAGGTGGGGGTTGGTCTCTCCTCCCAGGCAACCAGCAGGAGGACAAGAGGGCACAGACTCAAGCTCTGCCAGGGGAGGGTTAGGTTGGATATTAAGAAGAGAGTTTTTACAGGGAGAGCAATCAGACATTGGAATGGGTTGCCTAGGGAGGTGGAGGATTCACTATCCCTGGATGTTTTTAAGCTGAGACTGGATGTGACACTTAATGCCATGGTCTAGTAAACATGGTAGGGTTGGACTCAATGATCTTGGAAGTCTTTTCCAACCCAGATGATTCTATGATTGTAACGTGAAATCATATTTGTATCCTATACCAAAAGTCTGCAAGGGCATTCACATAGGCACCTGAGAAGTCAGGCTTGATTTTTGGTGTCAAAACGTACAAACGCATTGTGGAAGCTTCAGCTAAACTTCAAAATAAGTTTAATTAATTGCGTTTTGGTGCTTTTTGAGTCACATATTAGAGTAATGCCTATAGAATTAGATTCATCCTATTAAGGTGAAGGAAAGGAAAGACAGAACCTTCCCTTTCAATTCTCATAATAAGAGTTATTTGTAGAGGGTTAGTAACCAGATACTTTTTCAGGTATGTTTTCTGTCCTTAGAGCCTTGGCCAGATGCTGCTTTTTGACACAGTAAGTATATAATTGAACTATTTTAAGGGACATGTCAGTGTTTTTTTCCTTTAGGCACAACCCAGGCAGGCATGCTGGACCACAGCTTCTGCTGACAAGACTGCCACAGACTGACAGAAACAGGAAAGGGATGGGAAAATAGTGTATTAATAGGTTTGAAGCTATGAATTGTCTTGGAACAGAAAATTTAGGGTGACAGCTTTCTTAGGTGGGCTGTTCTGATGGGAACTTGGGAATCTGGAATTGAAATGACAAGGCTTTGAGGTAAGTGAGGCTGAAGGGCTCTGATAGGGCTTCAGGATCAGGGGGCAACTGGTAATCTAGGAAAAAAGCAGATTAATAAGGAATTAGAATCTTGGAAGTCACTGGGAAATTTCACGTGGGACAAACAGGACTTGGGAAAAAAGGAATTTTTGAAAGGCTAGAAACATGAAATTTGTACGTTCTTAGCTGACAACACTTGGAAAGAAAGAGTGGGGCAGAAGACATGAGTGGTCTAGGATGAGGTGGCTTTTGCAATGGAAAGCTCTGAAAGGTTTCATCAGGGTCACAGAAACAAACAAAAAAGTGTTGATGATGAGTTGGCAAGAAACAAAAAAAGAGAAGTGACACAGAAACAAAGACTCTGAGCCCATTTCCTCTTCACCTCTTCTCACACAAACAGAGAAGCTGTGAGCTACTCTATCCCCCACACCAAGCACTCTTTTTCAGGGTTACCCCAGTTCAACATCTAGATAGCAACAAAATGGTTAGGCTTTGACTTATTCCTAACTACTAGAGAGGAATAAAAGATTTACTTCTCTTGTGATACTGAAAGTTTTTAGTTACTACTCAGAAAAAGAAGCAAGGCTTGATTGTACAAGTCACATAAAAAATATCTTGATGGAAATAGCAAGCAATTTATTTAATTAGCTTAATTTATCATTAATTGGATTAAGAGAATTAAAATTTTTTTCCACAACAGTGATAGAAGACAAGATAGATTTTAAAGGTGATTTTGAATTTTCTTATCTGTTTTCATCACCTAGGAGCAACTTGTGTTTTGAAGAAGAAATTTTCTGCAAGCCAGTTTTGGAATGACTGTAGAAAACACAACATTACCATATTTTTGTACATAGGAGAACTCTGCCGCTATCTCTGCAATCAACCCAGTGTAAGTTCTTGTTTGCAAATGCAGCTTGAAGACATAGCAAGTCAGATAAATTCACCCATTTCTCAGCGGTATAGTATTTTAGTGTTCGATAGTTTTTTCCTGGCACACACAAAATTTAGCTCTTGTGTTCCTTGCTGTTCTACAATAGTAATCACGTTTATACCAGCAAATATAAAGCACAGAAACAAGCCTGTCAGGATAGGACAATCATACCCAGACAGTAACATAAATGCCTCTGTGAAGCCAAGCTTGTTAGCTTTTCAGCTGAGTGACCAGCAAGTTGCAGTTCAGTAAGGAAAAGGTACAAGCAGTAAAAGCTTAATCAGACTCAATGATCAAACAAGAGTCCAAACCAGACTAAATGATTAAACAACTTCACTGCACTGTTCCGAAGTAGTCACTTATCAGAGAAGCCTACTATATTCACCATGTAATGGATGATAACTAGTTTTTGTGTGGCTTTGATACTGATGAATGAGTTTTTGGTAGTTTAAATATTTTACTTAAGAGGTGTTCCAAAGACACTTTTATTTCCCCATGGCTGTATATATGATGGTGGATTTATATGTATAAAGCCAAAGTGGCAATAGTGTGGTGCAAGGTCTTGGTCATCCCTGGGATAACAGTCCTAAAGTTCATGGGAGCTAAATCATGATCATATTTAGGACAAAAGGAAGATATCACCAAATAGAGCAGCAGCAGAAAAGCAAGTCTGACAATATTTATTAAATTGCAACGTTTGTTTCTCAATGGCAGTGGAAAAGCTTGGTTAATTTTTTTAATTTTATACTTGGGAGTTAGAATGTTACTGAAGGGAGGTGACAAGAAGTATTCCTACCTACCTCAGAGAACATCATGTACGAGCACAAAGTTCAAATGATCTCCAAACCCATTGGTCAGAGATTGATGCAACACCTAGCAACAATTCTCCAGCTGGTTTGAACAGACTTACTATTGGGTGGTCTGGATGTAGGAGAGGGGTCAAAGATAAAAAAAGGGTATTAAAGGGAGCAAGACAGGAAAGCTGTTGGCCAGAACTCAAGTCTGTACCAACATTATTTCAGTAGTGCATGGATCAAAAAAACCCAATGAAAACATAAGGTAGGCCAAGCTAGTTGTGTAAAGGTCTCTCCTGAAGGAAGAACCTGAGGAAGAGCTTTCTTTACTGGGCTCAATAATAAGAATTTAGTAGAGAAGCTATTGACATATAACTGGCAACTGGTAAGAGGGAAGAACAGAAATACGGCCTACAGGAGTTGAGGAAGAGAGGAAGCCAATAGAAATGCATCAGGCATCCTGTCAAGATCACATGTCTTACCTCTTTTCACTGAGCATGCCTATGTCTCGCAATGAAATTGAGAAAGAACATGGATTTGGGAACTAGGAGGCACCCATTTATTTCTTGATGTAGACAGAGAGTCTCAGACTAATTAAGCCTACTGCAAGCTTAACCAGCATTCATGTACCTATCAGAATTAGATTTTAAGCATGGCAGCCCATACAAGGTAACAAACAAACCAGAATCCATGCCACTTTAAAGATAAAGGTATTTAAAATTCAAGGTAATTCAGGGAAATGCTGCAGATTGTTGCAATAGGGATGAACCAGGGTAAGGATGTCTATTTTTCCTATTGCTTATAATCTCTCAAACTCTTGAGATTTACTCCGAGAGGAACATCAGATATTTTGGGGAAAAATAACAAAATCCATCATGTTACTGTGAAGACCAAGTACTGAGAAAGGGACAATATTAGGTATGAAAGAAGTGTCCCAATCAGCCTGCCAACTGGTTCATAATTGGGTTTGATAACATGTATGTGATCAGATCATTCAGATTTACCATTAAAATTGCAAAAAATCCCACATCTCATTAGGCAGAAGCAGGGAAGTCTCCACTCCTGTGTTTAGCAAGTAGAGCTTAGTCAGCATTACAGTTGATCCTATTGTGGCAAATTAATCTGCCACAAAATGCAGTTCTGGATCAAATGAAATTGTCTGTTAACCCAGAGTTCACAAAACAATTTTATGTGAACATTTTTGGAGGTCAAATGTTGAAACACTAATTCTGCTAAAACATTTCAATGTTTTGAAATCACCTTAATATTTACAAATCAAATGTATTTTTACAGTTTTTAAAGTTCAGAATAATACTGCAATAAAAACAGAATGCATTTATTTGGTTTGAAGAAACCACTCTTGTGGACCTGAAATAATTTTATTGCCTGCTGACATTCAGCCGTGACAGTAACTTAAATACTCAACCCCAACTACATCTTCAGAAAAAGTGAGGACTTTCCCACAGGCAGAGTCTTGGCTGTGGTCCTGTTTATAGGGTGCTGAGCATTCTGCCCCAATGCAAAAAACATTTATGTAAGTAAATATTTGAGTAGTTTACCACAATAATTACATAATTGACATGTAACAATGACATGTTAACAACTACATTTTGATGCAGATTTGGTTACAATCTTTTCTGAATCTGAATTTAAGATAAAAAATTGCTCCTAATCATATGAGATACTGTAAGGAGCTATAAACTCTTCTGCTCCTTTTCAGGTTCCATAGGGAACATGATAGATGCGTAAAATTTATTGCCAAATATCATTAAATGTAGAACTGACCATAGGGTGTCACAAGTGTTTTCTAAGACATGATTTGGTTTATGAGGAAGAATTTCTTTCTTTGGTTCAGAAAGCAACATTCATTCTATGGGAAATATAACTTACTTGAAACCTATTTATTTACAGTTAAAATATTTTAAAATTTGTAATATACATCTCAGTTATAGAATTTATAAATGAAAATGCAAAGAACTGCAGAACTATAGATATAAATTCTTCAGCCTACAAAAATCCTTGAACCTCAGACCTATAAGAGTTCTGCTGCTTTTCAGTTTGATTTTTACAACATAAAAGCGTTTCTGTGAAGCATTTAAGTCAAGGTGGCAGTTCATAAAGGAAAATAATTCTAATAGGAAATATTAGATCAAGTCTAGGTATTTAGACCCACTTTTCTCAGGGCAGGATGTTTCTTTTTGTCTGTTCACAGAAAGAAGAGGACAGAGCACACAAAGTGCGCCTTGCTCTAGGAAATGGTGTCAGACCTTCTGTATGGAAAGAATTTCTGATGAGGTTTGGCCCAATTAAACTATTTGAATTCTATGGATCCACAGAAGGAAATCTTGGTTTCTTGAACTACACTAATAAAATAGGAGCTGTGGGCCGTGCTGGATTTTTCTCAAAGGTAAATGTAATCAAATCAACCAACCAATTAACCATCCAATAATTTAAAAAAAAAAAGGCAAGTGAAAGGTTGAAATTGTAAAGGGCAAAAGGGTACATGGAAGAACCTGGTTACCACAGTCCAGATATAGAAAAATCTGGTTCATGAAAAAAGAAATCTTATTCTTAGCCGCTTACTTGACTCCCTTCTCTGTACATGTATTTTGATGCCACAATAAATATACAGGAGGACACCACAGAAGCTTCTGTTCCAGCTTTTCCCCCAGAATATATAAAAGAAATCTGAGATGACAAAAATGCCTTCGCATGGCCATAATAAAAACAACTCTGTGAGGCATTTGATCTTTTATCAACCTTAACAATGTGGACAGGGGATTAAGGCAGGAAAGACTAAATGAAACCATTGTGCTGCGAGTTTCCACTTGGATCTGGCTGGAGTAATTTTCAACATGTCTATAATTCAATTTGGATTTTTTTTTTTTTTTTGGTCAGAGAATCATCCTGATTTGTAAACCAGTAATGTTAAGTCTCTACTTAGAAATGGATGGTAATTCTAAAGCAAAATTGACACTGTTTCAGTTTCCTTCATATAGATGGTTGAAATCTGACCATACTCTAGGAAAATAGACTTCTTTTTGTCAATAAAGGAGATGAATACTTATCTGCACATATATATTTAGTGTTGCTTACCATGATATGAACACTTTCTGACAACAGTCTCAAAATACTGTCAGGATATTTCAGGCTGTTTCACATCTTCTAGAAGTCAATAGGGACAACTTTTATCATGACAACTAAAAAGTGAGTAAGACAGTGAGGTTTTAAGTATGCCTATGTGCTTTTTTTATTTAGTTCCTACATTCTTTTGAGTTGTTGAAATATGATGTCTGGAAACAAGAACTTATAAAGGATGAAAACGGAAGGTGTCAGAAATCACCCATAGGTAAGGAAAAATATTGGTAATCTATTTACTAACCGATACCTCAGTTTATATGGTGATATTTTTGAGCTTTCATTCCACTGTCCACATTGAGAGTTCAAAACAATAAAGAGGATTTAATATAAGGTGTAGAAGTACAACTATGAAAAAAATTATTTGTTAGAAAACATCTCCTTGAAGGAATAACAATAAAAGTCTTTAGAAGATAGAAATATCTTTCCACCTCAGGAATCGAGAAAAAACAAGTACATATTATAGGTATAGAATAATGAAAATTCATTTTTAAAGAGTATTCTGAGTCAGGTCGAGTGAAGTCAATGGCATTTTTGCCCTTGTTATAAAGGGGCTTAGCCAAGTAGCAACAAGGATTGGTCCCCAGTAGGGATGTGCTGCAGACTCCAGGGACTCGATGTCTGGAGACCCAGGCATGCTATGTCTTACAATACGGATTGTCACACCAGCACAGTGCTGAGGGCAGTAGCAACCCTTTTCTCCAGAAAAATTCAAAGCATAAGAGCTTAGACACTATATTTCCCTCCCATGTGTATTGTTTAACTACCCGCACCCTTTCCAAGTCACAAAAGTCATCCTTTCACTGGGTAAATGCATTTTCAGGGTAAGTGGTGTAGAACATACTCCAAAAATCTCTTACCTGTGGTCCAGCTTCCTGGAAGAGAAGGAAGAAAATCTATGTTCTCTTTTCCACTCACTGATTTCTGCTGTTCAGGAGATGCCTCAGGAAATTTAGTAGTAAGATAAGTAGAATAGATATGACTTTTGAAAAGATTTTTGATAGGATACTTTATGCTCTAATTGCTCCCTGTATATGTGCTTCTTTACATCCCCTTTTCATGCCCTGCAGGTAAACCTGGTCTTCTAGTTGTTCAGGTTACTCAGGATGCCCCATTTTCTGGATATGCTGGAAACAAAGAAGCCTCAGAGAAGAAACTCCTGCGTAACGTGTTTGTGGAAGGAGATGTATATCTTGATACAGGAGACCTCCTCATGCAGGATGAGGATGGCTTCCTCTACTTCACTGACAGGGTGGGAGACACTTTCAGGTATAGCATAGAGTTAAGAGAAAATCCAGTAAGCTTGTAAGAAATCATACATGTGCAGGATTGGATGACACAGCTCAGACTTGAACCTGATGAATGTAAATTTTTTTGTACACTGAAACTGTAAGTCTAGGAATCAAAGACCATCGAAGTTAACAGCAACACAGTAGAGTTTTTCAAATTTGGCAGTTCTTTTAAGGTTGGGATCTCAAATGAGATGGCACTAAATCAGAAAAAAGTTTGTCTTATCTACATTCTTCAGTTAAGAATAATGCTAGTCCACATTAAAAATAATGCTCCATCATAGAGAGATCAAAAATGTGTAAGCTAACATCTATGTTATTTGAAAAAATAATTTCAACAGGTGGAAAGGAGAAAATGTCGCCACTTCAGAAGTTGCAGAGGTCATTGGTATGATGGATTTTGTCCAAGAAGTTAATGTTTACGGTGTAAGCATAAAAAGTAAGACATTCCTATAGTTTGAGGATATATAATGAAAATAATACTATCCTGCTCTAGCTTTTCGGTTCTTGCAATAGAATGAACACTTACATGTAAGGAAAAAAAGGGTGTGACCTTGGCAATTCAGGCATTCCTACAGAGCTTTAAAATTCCAGTTCCAGCAATATGCTGTATTTAATAAACACGATTAAATTTTGTAATGAATGGGAGAAACATTGGGATGAATTAAAAATCATAACACAGATATGGGAAGTACAAAGTCAAACTACAGAAGGCTTGCCTTAGGCTACTGGCTTTCATCTGAAAAATAGTAAAATGGGACATATTAAAAGATGACATGTCTGAAAACACTGTCTTGTAAGTACTGTACAAGAACATATATATTTTTTCATAACCAAAATTTTCCCAATCACATATGATGCTCCATAAAAACATACAATACCATGCTAAAAAGCTGTAGGCAACTAAATTACAAGATCATGAATATTTCTCAGAAAATGGATCCATTGAAGGAACAGGCTGAGAATGGAAAACTTTCTTGTAGTGTTGTGTTCTTTGTTTCCTTTGAATTATGGCAAATAAAGTCTCGTATTAAAAGAAACTAGTCACATAAAGAAGAAGCTGTCAAGAGATAAAACACTATTTAGCACTGAGAGATGGGAAACACAGTGGAATCAATGAAGAATACATGAAAATAAAATTAAGAGGCCATCATCTGAATGACTGGTCAGCAGGAGGCTGTCAGATGCCAATATGTTAATTTTTTAGAGATGATATCCTCAAGTGCATGCAAATAAAACTGTAATCTAATATGCAAAGCACCTCTTCTTGTCATCTACAGGTGGAGCTGACAAGAACTCCTTGAAAGGGTTATTGCTATCTCAGGCAGTGAATAGCACATCAAAATAAGGCCTCGAGCTTAAGAATCACATTAAGTTTTGGTTGTAGTGTCTATAAAATCTGGACAGCATGGTCTTTCAAATTTCTGAATTGACCCGAGTCTCAAATACTGCCAAAACAAACTTTGTAGCATATCAACAATTTGAAACTGCAAATTTATTGTCAGGAAAAGGAACAAGCATATTTTATCTTCTCAGGCCACACCTCAGAGCTGCACTTTCATTCTGGGCAGATTTAACATTGGCAGCTGCTTTCTTCCAGTTTAGATGTTTTATCCATTAGGAATTTTCATTCATGTTTCAACACAGAGAATGCAGGAACTCTGTGTGTTACATCTTTTTGAAATGGGTTTTGCATCTGTTTTCGTGTCAAACATAATTTGGTGCCTGTAATTTACTAGGAGGCACTTCCCCTATTTATCACTAATCTGTCTGTGGAGCAGAGTGCAAAACACTCAGCACTGCTTATACTGTGTACAGTAGCCATTAGACTTTATAGAGACCAAATACAGCCTCATACTTATCTATGTCTGTCTTTTGCATTAGTCTTTGTGTGAGTGCATTCCACTTTTTATTGAATTAATAGTCCCCTGATTTAATTATGCCACTATGTTATCAATGTTAAGACTGAGCAATGTGGCAGGAAAACCTAGCAGGCAGCTGTCAGCTACACAGAATCCCTAACAAAAAGATCTCTGTGACATTTTTTAATGGAATAAACCCGCTGAAAGTAACTTTTAAAGCCTTCCAATACAAAATGTCATCTATCTCATATTCAGCAATGTCTGAGAAGGTAGGGCAAATATATCACAACATCAATATATTTGCTCTGACCAATACTAAATGCCTCCAAATGTCATACAACATTCATAAACAGGCTTGTCATACTGTTTGTCAATTTTTTTAGATTATGAAGGAAGAACAGGGATGGCAGCTATTGTGCTTAAACCTGGCCAACCCTTTAATGGAGAAAGACTCTATAAGCATGTTGTGGACTTCCTTCCAAGTTATGCCCAACCACGCTTTGTGAGGATCATGGTAAGACAATCAGTTGTCTCCTACTTGTATTTATCTTCTGTCTGACTTTAAAATTGGTCTCTACAATCATGAAATGTGGGAATTAATTTACAAACAGTTTGAATAATTGAAAACTAAAGGTAATACGAGTCTAAATTATTGCTGCTCTTATTATTATGAAGTTAAGGAAATATTTGATGAATTAAGCTTATATTTTGCCTTAAGGTTCCATTCATACCTAAAAATCCTAGATGCGATTCATAACTTGGTAAAATTGGATTTTGCTTCACAGTTCTTCATCTTTAACTACTGTTTTCTTTGAGGCAATGGGAGACTAAGCAAACACACACGGGTAATATTACACATAACTGTCTTCTTATAAAAGGGTGACGTGATCCATTCCAAACCTATTCCTAATGTGGCTGTTCTTGAAATGATTACTTTTCACTGGTACTGACAAAATACCAAACAAATATCTAGTTATTTGCAACAGATAGTAAGATAAATATTTTATAGAGAATATCTTAATCTGAGAATTGAAAAGCACCCACATCTTCTAAAGTATAAAAGCAGAACTGGGATACAATTCTTTTCTATTGTGAACTTTGGAAGCGCAAAGATTGCATCCCTCATTTACTCCTCACAGAATGATCTTCTGCAACAGGACAGGGGAGCATGAACAGCAAAGAGCAGGAAAGGGCCCCTTATTACATCTTCTGACAGTTTGTAGCTCACAGTTTTCTGCTGTTAGGGGATGATGAGAAGCATTTAGCAGTTTTGCCTCTCCCTAAATATTGACAAATTGAAAGGTCCGAAGTTGGTTGGGAATGTAGTACAGTGCATGCAACTGGAGAGAAAGAGGAGAAAAGGAATGTTTACATTTAGAGGGAAGTCTAATTATTAACAATTTTAAAGATTGAGAAAACGCAGCTTTTCACTAACAGATTAGTGTACTAAGTAAATGTATACAGTTAGCAGAGGTTATACCATCTATGGTGCCACGGGACAGCAGTGGTATCTTCTGGGAAAAGCCTTTGGAACAGATTTTTCCTTACAGTTCCATTAGATGGAGGAAATTTATATGGAGCTCTAGGTTCTATATATGTGGAACTGATGAAACCTGTTTGCGTTGATGTGCTCTCTGACTAAAGCATTTTTCAGGTAACTGAAAGGAGCCAAAGTAACCAAAGCTACTAGCAGAACAAACTAATGAATATTTACACAAGTGTAAATTGGATTAAGAATAAAATCAATCTTGAAAATTTTCCAGCAGTCCATATCTAGGCTCTTTCTGATAGGACCTGCAATCTGGTTTTGTAGAAATCAGACACACTGAGAGTTGTTCTCCAGCAGAATATGAGAGGCTCAGGGACAACGATGCAAAGAACCAGGGAACTCTGTAGCATTCAGAAAGTACCTTTTTCACTTGACTCTTTTGAACTTACTTCCAACAAGAACTAAAAAGTGGTTTCCTTCAGCACAGGAACTCTACATTGTAAACACCATATAAGTAATAACAATGCTTGAGAACAGTCTGTTTTAAAATTGTCTCTTAACATAAACCACATTTGAAAGGAAATTGTTTTCTACACCACTTTGCTCTCACACTGACTATTGTGTGCAGAACAGCTTGCTCATGAATTGTCACGTGAAAACCTGCTGGAGGGCAACTGCTTACACAGACAAATAACACAGGAAGGCATTTAACATTTTTGGGTTTAATGTCTGTTTAGTAAGATTTATTTTAAAGTAATATTAATGTAACAAGCTTTATTTAATGAAGTTTAGCAGTAGGAAATGAGAAGAGAGCCAGTGCCACAAAATCAGTCAGCTCTCTGCAGAGCACCACCGAGTGTCCTGCACACTACTGATTTTGTGATGAGCTGCCCTAATGAAAGTTAAGAGAAAATGCGTATTTTGAAGCAGAGACTTGCAATCTTATGTGTGGTTTTAAGAGGCAAATGAATAAGAATTAAACCCTTCATTTAGATTTAGAATTCATGGCACCTGTGAGTCAGATAATTCTGTTTAACTGAAGAAATTCTATAGGAAAAATTATTCTGTAAGGGATTCATATTTTCATGGACATAGGCTGAAATGGAATATTACACTTTACTTGAACTATTTATTTTCTAGGATGTTATGCAAATTACTGGAACTTTCAAGCATCAGAAAATGCATCTGGTGAATGAAGGATTTAATCCAGAAATTATATCCGAACCTCTGTACTTCATGCATGAACCTGCATGTTCCTATATTCCTTTGACAAGAGAGATATACCAGAATGTGGTTTCCGGTGAAATACGCTTATAAAGCATCTAAATAAAATTACACTATAATACAGAAATTTTAAAATATACTCCTGCGATTATTTCAGCAAGAGCCAGAATGAAATATTTGTTCTAAAAACATAAGATATTCAAATTAATCTGTGTTAGAATTTGTATCTTCACAAAACAGAGCCACAACAGTTCTGTGCACTGTGTAAGTTGCACTACATCTGATGACATTACTTCTAGGGCTCACACAGGCACATTTTTATTTTACATTTCTCACTGATTCAAATTTTTTTTCTAAGCCATCATTATATTAACTTAGCTGAATATTTTACACCTTTAACCATAATACTAATTCTGCTTTTGGGCTGCATAGATGATTATATGAATAATTAGGCCTTAATAAAATATAAAGTGAGACATCAGAAACATAAATAAAATACTGTACCAGCACTGCATGTAGACTTTAGTTCAATGTTTGATAATTATATAATACAATGTTTAATTGCAATATTTTATGTGATGCTCAGCTTCAGATTTTTATGGAAAATAAACATTCAGTGGCAAAATACAGTTGTGGCATTTTTTGGACATTATTTTTCACAACTTACACCTCAACTAACACAGATTAAACTACTTGCAAACATCCATCCCTGCTGGCACATGACCTCTTTTACTTACCAATTGTCATATTCCTGGAGCAGAGTTCACATGAAAACGTGACAAAATTTACCATAGCTTCTAGCTTTTGCTGGAAGTGAATACTTAGAACTGTTAAAAGATGCTAAAAAGTTTCAAAGGCAGAATGAGATCAGAGAATATAGTATTAGCACACCTGTTGAACATTCATTCCCTGATTGTACATATCAGGTTACATTCAAAAATCAAACGAGTCCATACTTACATGAGGCAAATCCTCTCTACTGTATATTACCCTGAATTGAAATGATCTTTTGCCTGGATGAATATAATATCTGTACTATAAAGCTAATGCTTGCCTCATTTAGAGCCCATTTTACAGACTAGCATGGCTAGCCTTTTCCCAAACTTGAGAATTTTTTTCACTTGATATTCAGTACGTGAAATTACTACCACTGCTAACACTGCTACTCCTGCCATAATGCATTGCAAGATGGTAACTGACCAAAACACTATTGGTGTATTGTAGAGCACAGAGCAGAAGCAGTTACACCCCACAGAAGCTCATCATCAAATGTAATAAACTATTCAACTGACAAAGAAATTGTTATGATCATAATGGTCTGCAACCCCTGATGATACTGTGCATGTCTCCAGAGCCTCTGCCATTCCAGGTTACAAGAAGTGTGTGACAAAACCAGACACAGCCACTGGAAATGGGTGCTTGAGAACTAGAAGGTAGTAAGTAAGTGCGCAGAACTGGACAGCATACAATAAATACCCAACTGGCACACTAGACATCTCCCATGAGACACAAGGTTTCTGAGAATTGACTCAAGTTCTTACTCTTAAGAATTGTTCGTTGGTGACTAGGAAGAATACAGAACATAATATAGGCTTGAGGAAGGCTCAAGTTATTCCAATGGTCTGAACTGAGCATGTGACTGTATAGCACCCAAAAAGTCTCCTTTGACTGAGGCAGTGAACCTCTTACAGCTTACTCAATTTCTGGGCATCCTGGTATCAAGGAAGAAAGGGATTGGTTACTCATGACTCTTGAATCTAGTGATTCCTCCAACTACTTCTACTGTGGTCTTTAACACAAGAAACAATAGTGCTGACCTAGAGCTCTTATAAACTGACACATTATTTCCAAAATGTCAACAATTTTCAGATCATGGCATGGTATTGAGGCAGCTCTGAACTGGCTACTATAAACAAAATATGTGCATTTTTATTGCCAGATAAAGTTTTAGATAAATACACACACACACATGCACCCCTTAAGCAGGTATACCATTAAGCTTTATGAGGACTATATTATTGCTGTTACCAATACACTAAATTAAGCTTGCAACATTTATAAAGCTCCCAAAACCTAAGAGTAGAGTCTTATCTCTTATCTTTATTTTTATTACGGAGATGTACTACAGAATACTGTCTGCCTGTCTGTTATTTCCTCCTTTCTCCCTCACTCTTTTAGTCTCTACATTTAACTTCTTCCCAACTTTAATTCTTCAGAAAAAGTTAAAACAGAGCACAAGACAACAACCACATTTATCAGGATCTAAGTAGAAGATGCTTGAGAAATGAGTCTCACATCACAAAATTACTGTGCTTTCAGGATTCAGAAAAATTATCCCAAGCACGTGCAGAGAAGTGTAAGTACCTGTAACTGTTAAGCACACAAAATTCTTTTCTCCTTCACTTGTTGTTGCAATTTGCTTCTCAGACTTTCCAGAGTTGCTTCCCCTCTTCATATCCATATAACAGAAAAGGTGCGCACACTTCTTGTAACTCGGCATGGCGGAGGATCTTGTCCCTGACTAGCCTCAATTCCAGCTGTGCCTTAGCTTTCCTGACTCTGTCTCTAGCTTCTCTTACAGCTTCTCTGTATTTTTCCCAGGCCATTTGTCCTCCCTTTTTCCCCCTTGAGTTTCCTCAGCACTTTTTTATTCATCCACAGAGGCCTTCTGGCATTTTTGCCCAATTTCCTCCATGTCTGGATGCATCAGTCCTGAGCTTGTAGTAGTTGATCCTTGAATATCAGCCAGCAGCCTTGGGTCACTCTGCTTTCCAGGGCTTCATTCCAAGGGACTCTGCCAAGAAGGTCCTTGAAAGGGCCAAAGTCTGCTCTCCTGAAGTCCAGGGCAGTGAGCTTGCTGTGCGCCTTCCTCACCGCCCTGAGGATCTGAAAGTCCACCATCTCATGGTCGCTACAGCCAAGGCTGCCTTGGACCACCACGTTCCTCACCAGCTCCTCCCTGTTGGTGAGCACAAGGTCCAGCACAGCTCCTCTCCTTGGTTCCTCTGTCTTCTGTGTAAGGAAGTTATCATTAACACATTTAAGGAACCTCCAGGATTGCTTATGAACCACCGTGTTGCTCTTCCAACAGAAATCCCCCATGAAGACTAGGACTAGATGATCTGTAAGGTCCATTCCAACCCCTAAATTCTATGATTCTATGATACTATGACCTCTTAAAAATTAATTGGGATATTATGCTCTGAGTAGTATTGTAAGAATTATAATACTATATCCTATATAATACTAAATTGAAATAAGTAGCTGAGACTTCAAAATTTATGATTTTATTCAACAAAAACCCAAAACCAAACTAATAACAACCTGATACATCTAAAGTGCCTTAAAACTAGTTCTTTCTTTTAGCTAAAAAATCTGAAGTATTTCACTTTGCTGGCACTTCAGCTACTAAAATAGCATAGCAATTACCTCAGGTGTATTAGCCAGGTTCAGAGTTAATGCAAATATACATGCACACAATGCTGAATTGTCTGGAAATTAAGAGGCATAATGTCTCAAAATTGTAATATCAAAATACATTTGTTTTATGCTAAAGAAGCATTTCAGTAACTGGTGTATATTTTTGTGCTCCAATGAGATGTTACAGGGGAAAATTTTAGTTTTATCTAATCCCAATTCTTAAAAAAACAAATTTTCCATCTGAGTTTCACCAGAAGACAATTAAACTCCTTATTTTATAATTATTTCATTATTGGGTCATGCCATACTCTAAGGAATCAAAATGTTTTGAAGGGAAATTGAGCAGAATAATTACAGCATACTAAATAAGTCAGAGCTCAGTGGTTTGTCTGTGGTGTGAGTTTATGAGTTCTATATATGTCAAGAGTAAACTAGATTCCAGCTCATGACATATAACAAGAAGCTGATAAATGGCTAAATTTCTTGGTATACTTTGGGGGGTTATTTACTTAAAAACAAATACCTGTACATGAAAAATATAAGAGGTTTTAGAGGGTTTTCAGAGTTCACCTCTAGAATTGCCTTAATCAAGGTTTCTTCACAATATGAATTAGTCACTTGTATGTATGTGCTATGTGGGCAATTTTAATCTTAGCATGCAATTTTTTCCAGACAGCTATTGCCTTATTCAATGCACATGGCAACTTGAATATACTTAACAGTTCAGTAGCCTGTGTTATACTCATTGACTAGTGCACACAGTTAATTTTATCTTCACTGATGATACACTTAACATGAAATAAAATGATTCATTTCTTTGTGAACCTTTCAAATTCTCTACTTTTTCCTCTAAAAATATTAATAAATATGCATACATCTCCATTGGATAAAAACCCCAAAACTATAGAGAGCATAACACTGAAGGTGCATTTAACCTAACTGCTGACCCATCTCACAACTTTAGGGGTTAGACTAGCTACCTCAACTGAGGCATGTAAGTGCCACTTGGGATGGATGAGACTGGCAATTATGGCTTAAAAGACCAGCATGCTCTGCAGAGGCACATAAAGATTACACAGGCATTTATTGGCAAGGAATCTCTAGAGCAGCACCAGATACCAATCCTGGGCAATTGATTCAAGCCTAAGGTATAGACAATGCCTGTGTGTAGCCCACATTCTTACTCTGCAGTTACAGTTCAGTCGAGAAAACAAGAAACTCGTCCTAAATAAGACAGTGGCATTTGATTAGATGAGCAACTCTAAATTCCCTTAGTCATGCTCAGTCTTCATTGATGCAAGCTCCCATTATAACCAGTGCTCACATTTAGACTCCCATCTGCCCCACAGATACCCATGAGCTGAACCCAGTTTAGAAAAATTAATCAAATGTGCCTGATAATTTTTAAGGATTTGATTTTTCACCATTCCACTTAGCATAGCATACAAAGCATCACTTCCCATATCTTAATCTATAGCTGCTTGAGTAGTCACCAAATCAAGAGGTTGAGAGGGTTTTAAAGTGTAAGGTTAGGCATAGAGCTTGGCTAAAACATTCAGTTTGGGGAGTGCATAAGTTATTATTTCAATATCACACAGGAATGCACAGACAGGCATCAAGTCCTATTTTGGTATTGCTTCATCTGAATTCTGTGACTCATTGTCTACTGAAAT